TATTCCCGTTACAAATCCCATTTTCACTAACGGAATACGTAACGTACGTTATTTTATGTAATATTTGGAATCGTTAATATTCAAATATCTAATTTTATTATAAGTAATATAACTCATACGTGTTAATCTAGTTTAACCTAATAGAGTTGTATTACTATTTCAACCACTTCATCCGGGTAAAAAGTTTTAACCCCGTTAAACTTTAGCATCGGGTAGCCGTGTATCGGGTACAATACCCGAGACATATAAAAACACTTGAACACTTCAATTGGACTCTTTTACCACTATTACACCTCTCTCTCACTACTTTCTCTCTCTAGACCCGAAATCGACTCCAAATCCGCGAATTTCCGACTTCCAAACGTAAGGATTCATCCCCTAACTTAATCTAATCATACTTTACTGCTTTTAGAGTCCAAAATCATGAGAATCAAGGACCATAAAGGAGTTTACGGCCTAAGAAGCTCCTTAGGCCGTAAACCCCCAAAATCATACCAAAAGCCTTGTTTTTCCTTCTTTTAAGCTTAGACTAGTTAAGGCATAAACCTAGGGGACTTTGGACACTAAAACACAAGGATTAGAGCTAAAAAGGAGTTTACGGCCCAAGCATGTGCTTAGGCCGTAAACACCTCAAACACCCCAAAAACACTTGTTTAAAGTCCCAAAAACTCATCTAGGGTGTTTGGCAATTTAGACTTGACAACAAGGAAGGCTTAAATGCATCAAACAACATCATTTGATGGCAAAAAGAGGAGTTTACGGCCAAGGCTAAGCTTGGGCCGTAAACACCCAATTTGTGTCAAACAAGTCCCAAAACCCCTCAAATGCATGTAAGGATTTTAGCTAAGGCCTTTGGAAGTGTGTTGTAATTAAACTTCACATTTGGACACAAAATGAAGAGTTTACGGCCAAGGATGTTCTTGGGCCGTAAACTCCCCAAAAATATTGCCAAATTGTCCCAAACTCACTATAGGCCTTCTAGGATTTATCTAAGGTGTATGAGACTTTGTTGTACCATTAAAACATACATCTTGAAGGGTTTACAAGAGTTTACGCCCAAGAACAAGTCTTGGCCGTAAACTCCCCAAAAATGTCACAAATTATGATGTTTAATCCCTTAAAATAGTCCAAGACACATACCACTAAATCAAGGAAGTGAAATAAGACCTTAAACATACACTTTGGAGTGCCACAAGAGTTTACGGCCAAACCTAGGGGGTTTACGGCCGTAAACTCCCAAAGGATGGCTTTTGGGCCATAAACTCCAAAAGAGTGAGCTCGTGACCCTCCCGTAAATCATTCATGACTTTGTACCACTCCCGGGAACCCCTTCTAGCCTTAAAACCCGAAAACGATGCTAGAATGTCCAAATACTATAATGAAAAGCATAAGATGATTAACTTCTTGTAAAATACATATTTCATGACATTAGGGTCCTAGGAGGTGCTCAAGAGGTTATTGGGTACCAAACGCTCAATCGACACTTTTACCCGATTTACCCGATTTCCGCGATTTCAGGTGAGTTCATACCCCTTAATGAACCTTTCAAATGTTTTATATGTTTTAGGGGGGAGATACAAGTTGAATATACATGTTTATGAAAAGTTATACAAGACTATTTTTCAGATTTCAGAGTTAATCACATGTGATTCACAATCTGTAGTTCAAATCACATGTGATTTATCACTATGCTTTATAAATAAATCAATTGTTTTCAAAACTATCTTGGATTAACAAACAAGTTTTAAATGTTCCTTTCGTACAATACTTTTGTTAAATAAAACTCTTTATAAAATGTAATCATACTAATATATTTATATAAGTAAGATTTGAAAGACTTAGGACCGATAGCTCGCCTTACTTCCTGTTTTTGTTTGATTGTGGACTTAGGGTAGTAGTTATCCATCCGACTGTCATTGATTTCTTAATTATATATCTCGTATATTAGTACAGATTATGAGTACTTCTTAATTCATTAATTACCTGAATCACTACTTGACTAGAACCACATACACTAAATTGACTATAATGGGTATAGTTAAGGACTCTATCTCTAGTTTCCACTATTACTCTACACTACTATAATTCTCTATACTATGAAGCAATACACTAATAAGAGAATACAATACAAGTTATACGAAAGATTTCTACACTATAATACAAGAGAATGCACTAATCATGAGATAACTCACTAATCCACTACGGGATACTCTATACGCTATTCACTATGCCCGAAGTTTTCCGTCAGGAAGACGACACTATATGTATAGATCTATACGGGGCAGACACTATTACATCCCGACTGATAACTTCAGTCCGAGCCGCTCAGGCCCAGGGATGCTGTTACTTTTACTACACTATGCATGACTGGGAAGGTCATGGGGGTTCGCTATTACTCACACTATTGGGAATATACTAAGAAAGACACTATAACCGCACTAAAATACTAAAAGAAAGATGAAGTAATATCCCGAAGTAAATAAGTATCTAATACTAAAGGATGCTGCACCACTATTACATACTCTAAGAATAACTCACTATACTACATTACATAACGATGAGTCACTATTACACTTCTATGATAAATGACATTCAAATATAGAACAACATATTTCTTAAAGATTTTCACTTACTATACAGTTCTGGAAAATATGGGATTTTCTAGGTTTTACCACTATTTATGATTTCAAAACTTCAGTTTTCATACTAATGACTCTAATACTTTTATACAAGCACTCACACTAAAAACTCTTATGAACTCACCAGCTTTATGCTGATATTCTTTTCAAAATAACTTGTATCTTCAGGTCAAAGATAGACAGGTACAGCAGCAGCATTTTTGGAGAAGATGGAGGATACAAGACCCATCTCTTATTTTTGTTTACTTTTGGTGTTTGTCAAACTTTACAAAACACACTTGTAAATACACTTACTATATGAATGAAATGGTTGTATGGTTCTTGCTTTTACTATTATACAATTGTGATGATACTGTACACTACATCATCCACCCCGAAACGTATTCCGTCGTTATCGGTTTTGGGGTGTGACATTGTACCCATCACAACATCAAGTTCTTGGTATTGAGTTGAGTTTGTGAATCCATTTTAAAATTATCTGTAGTAAATTTTTAAGGCTGTAAATTTATTTTACTGTAAAATTTCTTGGCCGTAAATTGTTTTTTACACCGTAAACTGGAGTTTACGGTCAAAAAAATATTTTGGTTTTAAATTCAAGAAGTAATTTCAACTATTTTGAGTAATCTTAGGCCGTAAACTCGTAGGCCGTAAACCTTAGGCTGTAAATTCAAGAAGTAAGCTTAGGCCGTAAAATCGAGTTTACGGTCCAATTATACCTTTTGATTTAAACTCCAAAAAATAATGGTGTAATTATCGTTTAACAGAAAATCGATTTTTTTGTGAATGCTCGAGTTTACGGTCAATGAAAGTTAACAAAAAAATTCGATTTTTATATTAAAAACGACT